GGCAGTAAGAGTGTGATTTACATCTCTTTATTCCCTTGCATTGGCATGCAGGATGGGCCGCTTGTATATCCAGTTTTGTTATCCATTTCATTCTGTTCGACTTGCGTTAGCATCTCTTGTAACAAACTATTTGATACATTCAGCGCTTTAATTTCAGCTTCAGATGGTATGTAAGCACTTGTCCTATTGAGAAAATTATTAAAAAGTTTTGGTTTTTTTTCCATTAGACTTTCTGTATCAAAATTCTGAATTGCTTTATAGTGTTTTTTTTTCCTTTCTGTTAGTGAGAAGTAACTAGTTCCCTTTAGATGCACCTCTGAAAGATTTTTGCTTAGTTACTCAGCCAATCACAGTGTTTGAAATCTCTTGTGTAGCCTAGTCATAAAGGGGTAATTTGCTAAAAAATTGACTGTGAAAGCTGTCACTTTCCATCACTTCTAGACCAGTAAAATTTAAAAACATGCTAAGTGAGCTAGAATAACCTAGGAAAAATACTTAGTGTTGCTTTTAGGGACATTAATATCATCAGATCACTCTTTTATTTTAATGTAATTGTATATTGTACTTTTCCCTCAAGTATTTCCAAATTGCTTAGTGTGCTAAAAGTAAAGATTGTATTTGCAAAATCAGAAATTTTGATGCACGTTTTAAAAGCTACCAAAATATATTGTCTTAATGGTGAGGGTGACAGGACCCCTATGACCTGTGATATTTCAAAATAAATTGCCATTGAATATTAACTGCTGTTGATGTGTTAGTGTAGAAGCTTCCAAAATAATCTTTTTTTTTTTTTTTTTTTAAACTCATTCATGAGGGTTTGGTTTAGATGCTATGGTAATGGGTGCCTTAGAAATGCTTTGAAACTATAGGCTAAGATACTCATAATCAGAGGCGAGAACTGTTATGTTTCTACAAAAAAAACAGGAGTACTTGTGGCACCTTAGAGACTAACAAATTTATTAGAGCATAAGCTTTCGTGGGCTACAGCCCACTTCTTCGGATGCATATAGAGTGAAACACATATTGAGGAGATATATATACACATATACAGAGAGCATGAACAGGTGGGAGTTGTCTTACCAACTCTGAGAGGCCAATTAAGTAAGAGAAAAAAACTTTTGAAGTGATAATCAAGATAGCTCAGTACAGACAGTTTGATAAGAAGTGTGAGAATACTTACAAGGGGAGATAGATTCAATGTTTGTAATGGCTCAGCCATTCCCAGTCCTTATTCAATCCTGAGTTGATTGTGTCTAGTTTGCATATCAATTCCAGCTCAGCAGTCTCTCGTTGGAGTCTGTTTTTGAAGTTTTTCTGTTGTAAGATAGCCATCCGCAGGTCTGTCATTGAATGGCCAGACAGGTTAAAGTGTTCTCCCACTGGTTTTTGAGTATTATGATTCCTGATGTCAGATTTGTGTCCATTAATTCTTTTGCGTAGAGACTGTCCGATTTGGCCAATGTACATGGCAGAGGGGCATTGCTGGCACATGATGGCATATATCACATTGGTAGATGTGCAGGTGAACGAGCCCCTGATGGTATGGCTGATGTGATTAGGCCCTATGATGATGTCACTTGAATAGATATGTGGACAGAGGTGGCATCGGGCTTTGTTACAAGGATAGGTTCCTGGGTCAGTGTTTTTGTTCAGTGATGTGTGGTTGCTGGTGAGTATTTGCTTTAGGTTGAGGGGTTGTCTGTAAGCGAGGACAGGTCTGTCTCCCAAGATCTGTGAGAGTAAAGGATCATCTTTCAGGATAGGTTGTAGATCCACACAAGCGGTCCATTTCCTGGACACTACTGTGCTAATAAGCGATGGTCACATAAATACCACCCTCTACCGGAAACCTACTGACCGCTACACTTACCTACATGCCTCCAGCTTCCATCCAGGACACACCACACGATCCATTGTCTACAGCCAAGCTCTAAGATATAACCGCATTTGCTCCAATCCCTCAGACAGAGACAAGCACCTACAAGATCTCTATCAAGCATTCTTAAAACTACAATACCCACCTGCTGAAGTGAAAAAACAGATTGACAGAGCCAGACGAGTACCCAGAAGTCACCTCCTACAAGACAGGCCCAACAAAGAAAATAACAGAACACCACTAGCTGTCACCTTCAGCCCCCAACTAAAACCTCTCCAGTGCATCATCAGAGATCTACAACCTATCCTGAAAGATGATCCTTTACTCTCACAGATCTTGTGTGTATATATATCTCCTCAATATATGTTTCACTCTATATGCATCCGAAGAAGTGGGCTGTAGCCCACGAAAGCTTATGCTCTAATAAATTTGTTAGTCTCTAAGGTGCCACAAGTACTCCTGTTCTTTTTGCGGATACAGACTAACACGGCTGCTACTCTGAAACCTGTTATGTTTCTAGTCATAGCTGTGTATGCACTGACATTGAGCATTCCTTTCTACCTTGATGTTCTTACCTGCGCAAGTAAAATAATATATCTTCTTAAAAAACAAACAAGCAAACCAAAACAAACCCCACAACTATGGTATTTTCTTACTCTGACTACACTGAGACTTTGATCCCGAAAGTCCTCTCTCAGAGCCTGATCCCACACCCATTGAATCAAGCTCTCTGTGCATAGCAGGGAACACAAGGTAGAGGCTACACATGGGCACAAATAAGTTTAAACAATAGATGTAGCGTGGTGAGCAAAAGTCAATCTGAAGCCCCTGCATGTCCTCGACTTAGCTTTCCAAGTGCAAGGTAAAACAGAGGTGGGGTGCAGGGAGAGAATTGATGTGTTTTAGGACATTGGTTTTCAGACTGTGGGGCATGTCCCCTTGTGGGGGTGGGGGTGCAATGAGGATACTGGGAAGCAGGTGATGGGATGTGGGACTGTGGCTGGCTGGGTGTCTGGGCCAGAGCAGGGCAGTAGCAGGGAGAACTCATAGGGAGTCTCCAGCAGATGAGGGGGAGCGCAGCCACACCCTGTCCTGGCAGCAGCCTGCTCCTCTTCCCCTCCTCCCAACTTGACCACTAGGGACTTCTTGCTTGCTCTCCCTGCTACTGCCCAGCCCTGGCCCAGACACCTGGCTGGCTGCAGTCCTTGTGTATTTACTCTCTGGAGCCTGTGGGTGTGAGAGGCTCTGGGAATGGGGGAGGGAGGGCAAGGAATCCCGTTCCACTCCATGCTGCCATAGGTTCCTCTGGGATGGAGTCAGACGGATCATGCCACTACCCCAGATGTAAGCCACCTGTTCTCAGTGAGTCACTTTCTGCCCTGGATGTGTAGGCGTTGGGGAAGGAGGAAGGGTCTATGGAGAAAGGGGGGCACAGCAAAAAAGTTTGGGAATGTCTATTTTAGGAGAAATGAGCTTAAGCACCATTCTCAATATGCCAATGAGGCACTCAGCTATATGCACTACTCACTCTGACCTCTCTTCTGCTGCAAGACCGGTGTAATTTTGCATCTACATAGCTCTCGCTGTGCCGGGTTAGGTGTCCCTGTGCTATCCTACTTCCCACATTTTACTTTTTTTTTTTTTTTTTTCATGTACATGATCTGGTGGGTACTAGGGTGACCACCCATCCCTAATTGGGCAGGACAGTCCCGAAATGTACATTTCAAGTCCTGATCCCGGGCTGAATGACACTGGGACAACATTTGTCCCAGATTCCCTGCGGTGCTGCTATACACCTGCCCAAGGCTCATGGGTGGTGCCAGCCTCTTCCTGGTATGTGTGTGTGGGGGTCTGAGTGGGCCTTAGCCCTCCCTCACCACCAGGCTCCACCACCTGTCCTTCCTCTTCCCTCCGAGGCCCAGAGCTGGGCAGTGCAAAGAGCTGCCCAGGGAGCCTGGGCAGTTGTGTGGAGCCCTGGACCCGCCACCTGCCCTTGGGGTTGGGACACAGGCCAGGGGCTGCTTTTGGGCTGTTATCACTGCCCAGCTCTGGTAGGGATGGGGTCTCAGGGGAAGAGGAGGAGTAGGGGGCAGGGCCACAGAGGGGGTGGGGCTCCTGCATATGTCCTGTTTTTCCATTTTGAAAAGGTGGTCAGTAGGGTACTGCACTGGGACTCAGGAGATATGGGTTGTATTCGTGACTCTACCACTGATCTCATGTGTGACCTTGGGCAAGTCACTTCACTTCTCTAGGCCTCTGTTTCCTTTCCCACCTTTTGTCTGCCTTGTCTGTTTAGACTGCCAGCTCTTTGGAGCAGGGGACCGACTTAGTATGCATTTGTAAAGTGCCTAGCACAATAAGACGCAATCTCAGTTGGAGCCTTTAAGTGCTACAGTAATAAAAATAATTTTGTACACACACATTAAAATATTTTTTTCTTAAATGACATGGTGCAATCACTAGTGTTGTTAGACCATGGGAATGGGAACCTGGAACACCTGATTTCTAATCCCAGCTATGTCACTAATTTACTGTGGTTTTGGGCAGATCATTTAATTTCTCTGTTTTATTTTCCCCAGCTATAAAATGGGTAAAAATGGCTGTGAATTTTTACTTCATTTAAATTCACATTGCATCTCAGTTTCTTCAAAGATAGAGACAGGGAGTACAAGTCTGTTGTACTGTTGAGTAAGTCAAGGAGAGCTGACTGTTTCTGTACTACATGAGTTAGAGAGTTTGGTGAGTTTGGAGGCTGATTAAAGTATGTCATTGTGAAGTGTTTCAAATCAGGGAGCTGTTTTCCCGGGAGATCCTTTGGTGCTTCAGACTGGTAGAGAAACTGTTGTTTATTGGGACAGGTCTAGATGTCTCAAATTTTTGTGTGAACTTATGGATGGACGAATGGAATGGAATGAACTTCCAGCATTGTGGCTTACTCCTCCCTCCCCATTTAATCTTTTTGTTTTTCCAGAAATGTGAGGAGAGCAGGACACTATCAGCCTTTCCATAAGAATTTCTACTATACCATCTGGGTAGTGCTCGCTCATTTCATTTGTTTCTTGTTAAGCATTGTTACTGTCTATCACTATTGTTTAGAAATTCCTTTTCTTGTTTTCATTTTTAGCTGTACCTCTTTGACGCCTGGACCCAGCTGTGATCGGTTTAAGTTGCATATCCCATATGCTGGAGAAACACTCAAATGTAAGTTAAAGCCATTTATATCACCCATTCTCTACTTCTCTCAGCCCGTTTTATGTCAGTCACAATGCTCTGTGCTTACAACTTAATATTTCCCAGTGTTTCAAACTTTGCCATTTTATCGTGAGTCTTGTGATATTTGGTGTCATCTTAAAGCTCCAACTTCTGGAGTCATGTGACTATGTGAAAATCTTAGCTTTCATTTAAAAAAAAAGTTTCTAGTTTTCATAGATGCAGAGAAAAGGTTAAAAACCTAAAAAGACACCAAAATTTATTATTTTTTAAAATGTTGTGATTAAGAGAGTCATAATTTTTGGAGGCCAGACTAATGCTCTTGGAATGCTTTGGGTTGACAATACTGATTTCCTCTCTGGTAGTGAGGATTTTCTTACTGGTACAGTATTTGTTATATTGTATAGAGACACAAATAACTGGCACTGATTGTCATGCTGGGTGAAGCAGTGGAATTTGGTTTTAGTGATTAATACTTTCAGAGCTCATTTGGCTATCAAATCTTCCTTTCTAAAAGCCATTTCTAGTGATAGATGTTGGTTTGTTTGATCCTCCCATTGCTGAATGGGTATTTGATTGTAAAAATTAGATACTATACGAGAATATTTCCTTTCATGTTTTTAGAAGACAGGAAAGAATTTTTTCATCTTCTCCGTTTCCATTCAGCTACAGGTGAAGAATGGTAGAAGTTGTGAGGAGGAATAACTTTAAAGCAATAATAAAGTGACTGATCTATCTTGGCTATCAAATGCATATAAAAACTTGCTTTATTGTTTCATGGCGGTGATTTTGCTTCCATAAATGTATCTGACTTGTGAAGATCACACTTTCATGGAATTTCATGTAGTGTTCATTCAGCTGTAAGGATCAAAAAGTGTCCATGTGTCTATGTCTCAAATCAATTCTTATAGCCTGTCACAGGGTGACTTGCCCTTTAAGCGTGATTGGTCCAGACCCACCTGTAACACTTATTTTCTTCACCTGTGTGAGCTAAGTCACATGATAGGTGGTGTGGCTAAATCAGGTGTTCTGGGATGGAGATAAGACAGAAGCCTGTGGAGAGCCTGAGGGGGAGAAGGGAGAATCCAGATATCAACCCATGGGGAGCTGCTGCTGCTGGGTAGAGACTCAAAGGACCAAGGAGTGCCTGGGCCCAGCTTGAGACTAGAGGGACAGAAGACTCTTTCGTGTTTGTTTTGGACTTGGATATCCTGCAAGAGGCACTTTTTCTTTAATGACTTAGCTAAATAGCCAGGTCTCTGTAGCAAGTTATCACTGCAACCAAAACAAGCTGAGAGGTTGGGAGGTTCAATCTAAGTGAGAAGAAACCGAGGCAGTGACTAGCCCAAAACTGGACCTGGTAGGAGGTGCAGCTACATAACCTAAGGGCTTCTCTACATGGGAAGTTAGTGTGCAGCAAGCTAGTGTGAGAATTTACAGTGCACAAGTTACTCTGCACTAACTCCCTATGTGAACACTCTTGTACTAAGCTAAACTGCCTGAGGGCACTTTTGGTACATAGCAAGAATGTTCACTTGGGGAGATAGTGTGGAGTAGCCAGTGTGCTGTCAGTTCACACTCTAGCTTGCTGCACCCTAATTTCCTCTGGTCTTCAAGTTGGAACACTGTATCATTTCAGTGTAGTCTACTGGCTTGGCTTATTGTAGCTTTGCTTTTATCTGTAAAGTTTTCACTTGCCATTTCTGAAATTCATCATTCCCTCTCAAATTTTATTTAGTAATTAGAGGTGGGTCATCATATTTTTTTATTTAGGTCAGTCAATAAGCAGATGGATAGTACATATTTTATTCACAAAACATGTTGTTTGTACTCTGGTAGTCACACTGATCTAGAGAGTATGTGGTATAGTTTAAATGCTGAGAATTTTTTTGTACTTCAGTATGCATTAGGACTTTTTATCTGATTGCACAATACATTAGAAGCCATACTCCTTTTACAAACAGCAATCAACAGAGTTAACCTTCTGTATTGTTACAAATATTTTAATGGTAGTTTGACATTTACAGCAAAATCTATCATTCCAGGAATTTACTTTAGGTAGGCCATGAAATTGTTTTAGTTTTTCTGTTTTGTGATTATAGTCCGCCTAGACTCCAACATGACTGTCAGGATGAAGTGTATATTTAATCTGCTGTTCTAAAAGTACCAAAATGTTGCTCAGGATTCATCACAGAAATATGGGTAGATGCTTTAAGAAAGATGAAAATAGAATCTTGGACGCTAGAGATTACGTAGAACACACTGGAGCATCATAAATGTGGATATTTCCACCATGAATTTAGCCTAACCCCTTCAGTACATACTACTTTGGGACATGGTGGTATTTTTTCCTAGTATATGAAGAGGACAACTATGTCAACTAGCGTTCCTTACTTTTGGGTACACTGTAGCCTCTCTGTTTAGAGAGATGTCCATTTTTAGCTAAAAAATAATAATAAAATTCTTCAACATCCAGGGTGGCAAGTTCAACCCCATTTTAAAGCCTTGAACAACCCACTTCCATATAATATTAAGTGCCGTAAAACAATGTTAAAGACTTGCTTTGTGGCCTCTGCCAGATTGCACTGAAGGATCTTAATAGTGCAACAGCAGGATTGAGAATGTTTCTGTGACAGCGTACCCCATAAGGCTTTATGGGGGGGGTGTGCTTATAAATGTATGTATGACATAACTGGAATATGTTTTGTGCTGCCTGTGCCATGTAATATATCTTCGTAAAGGTTATGGTCTACTATATCTATTCATCCTATTTGTACATATATATCATTTTCTACTTGAGGTTAAGAATATAGGCTGTATGCTTGCTTGGTTTCTAAGTAAGCTTTGTGTAGGGTGACCAGACGTCCCGATTTTATCGGGACTGTCCCGATATTTGCTTGTTTGTCCCGCGTCCCGACCAATGTGCGGTCGGGACACTGGACAAACAAGCAATTTTGCCCTCCCGGAAGGGCTCTTGTCTCCTCCACCCCGACTCCGCCCCCTCCATTCCCCATTGGCTCCCTCCCCAAATCCCCGCCCTGGCCCCGCCTCTTCCCCATGCATGTGGCATTCCTTCTCCCTCCCAGGCTTGCTGCTGTAATGGTGGGGCAAGCCTGGAGGGAGGGGGTGGTGGCCGGCTTCCAGTTCCTGGAGCTGGTGAGTAGGGGCACTGGGCGGGCAAGGGGGGCTGGCAAGGGGGCTGCTCCCCCAGGAGGTAGACGGGGGGGCTCCGGACCCCAGCAACGGCGGGGGAGAGCGGCTCGGGGCCACACGAGTGGCCATGTAAAGTTTATCGGCTTGGGGGGGACCCCGGCCGGCTCCCCGCCCCGCGCCAGCATGTTGCACAGGCCAGGTAAGGAGCCGAGTTGCCCCCTCGTCCTGGCTCCTCAGCTGAGCCCCCCCGTCACCCTCCTGGGGGAGCAGCCCCCCTGCCCGCCCGGTGCCCGTACTCACTAGCCGCAGGAACTGGAAGCCGGCCACCACTCCCTCCCTCCAGGCTTGCGCCTGCATTCCAGCTGCAAGCCTGGGAAGGAGGAGGAATGCCGCTCAGCTGAGGAGCCGGGGGGAGGGGGGACCCTGAGCCGCTCTCACCCACCGCTGCCGGGGTCCGGAGCCCCGCACCTCTCGCTCCAGCGGCTCCTTCCCCGCGGGGCGGCGGGACATGCCGCGTGTGCCCTGAGGGGGGGGGGGGGGGG